CCGGGAGAGGGAGAGGGTGAGGGGTGACGCGGGGGGCCCTGTGGTCTGCCGGGCGCCACAGCCCAGGCCGCCTGTGAGGCCTGGCCGCCCTCCTGCTCCCCACGCTGTCCTCCGTCAAGATGGACATGCAGTGGGACTTACAGGGTCGGGAGGTTAATGGTTCCAGTAATATACACGATAATGCCAACCACATAACGGTAATAGTGACGCCAACGTTTTAAGCCACTTACCATGTGTTTCACATTACTTGGCTGGGTCTCGGATATGGGTTTTATCCCCATTTTACAGATGAAAACATGGAGGCTCCGAGGGGATCAGAAACTCGTCCTGAGCTTAGTAGTAGTAGGTGGTGTGGATTTGGAACCTAAACCCATGTCTTTCTTATTCCAAGCTTTTGCTTTTAACCACCGTGCCGGACTTGCCCATCTTCCTTCATCACCCATCACCCATCTTCCTTCCTGTGCCTGTCTCATTCTCTCTGCTTGCTTTACTAGTATGTCCCCATTCAAAAATTGGGAAGAAAAACTAGACTCCGGGTCTGTTTTCAGGGTCTGCCATCCCACATGGTGTAGCTGATATTCCTAGATGAGTTTCCCAGGAGATGTCATTTTGACCTCTTGACCTCTTCCCCCATCAGGCTCCTTGGGGCTGTCGGTACCCCTCTTTTTCTTCCCCCTAATTCCCATGTCTGTGACCTTCAACCACCTCTCTCAGCCCCTCAGTGATTGCTCCCTTCTAGTGCAGTATAATCAGGAATTTAACCTATGGGATATTTCTGGAATTAAAGTCACTGTGTGTTGTGCTGCTATAGCTTTTCTTTAAACCCTTAAATCAACAGTAAGGCTAGAGAGAGCCTAGAGTTTGTTTTGGCTTTTGAGTTGAGATGGTGATCTAATCATCCTAGCTTTTGTTCATCAGATGAGTGACTTTGGGCAAGTTACTTACTCTGTTGGCTTCCCTATTTTTGTTTATAAAAGGCATAGTAATGTTTACCTTACAAGTTGTTGTGGGGAGTTAGTAAGAATGCATGCAACGCATTCTGCACAATGCTTGGTACGTAAATATTGCATATGTTAGCTGTTCTGTTAGTACTGCTGCTACATACATGGCATCTCACGAAGCCATTGTAAAGTAAATTATTACTGGATTGTAGTAAATTTTGACTCTTCATCAAAGACTAGAATTGTTCTGGGGTTTAGCCTCAGCCCTTGCTTCTTCCCACTCTGTTCTTTTCCCTGGTGTAATCTCAAGGTTTATTCTTGTGGACCAGTGACTGCTTCTTCTTGTATTCTACCCAGAGCTCTTCTGAGTTCGCATCTTTTTTATTCTGACTGCGCTGGATGTCTTTACTTGTGTCTTAGGATACCCTAAATGCCACAAGGCCAAAACTGAGCTCATTATCTTATTCTTCTAAATTCTCAGTCTTGTGTATTAATTTTCTACTGCCATTGTAACAATTTATCACAACCTGAGGAGCTTAAAACAGGTTATGCAAAGTGCTGAAGTCCCAGAAAAGCTCAGCGTTTTGTTCTTGGATTCCCAAAGAAGTAACCCGGAGGACTGGCTGTGAAAGACGTGGATTTATTAGGACTGACATGCTCACTGGTGTTGGCTGACTGGTGAAGTTTACTGCCACACCAGCTTCCACCAGTGAAGTTGAACTGCTAAGGTGGATGGGCTGCACGGGGCGGCCGGCGGGCACTATTGTTTCAGCAGCACCCAGACTTTCCCAACACAAGGTTTTATAGAGTACAGAAAACTGAGAAAACAGGGCATACAGGGAGAAGGTATGTGTGTGTGAGACCAAAACACTAGCTGTTTTCTTGACTAAGGAGCTGGCCAGGCTCCCAAGGCCTCACAGTCCGCAGACTGATGGCCTTCACTGTATTTCCCTAAGGGAGGGGGAGTTGGAATATGGGAGGGGCCCATGTTCTCATTTACCATACACAACAGAAAATTATTCTCTCACTATTCTGAAAGCCAGAAATCTGAAATCATGGGCACACACTCTCTGGAGGCTCTAGGGCAGGAGTGGGGAACCTTTTTTCTGCCAAGGGCCATTTGGATATTTATAACATTCATAGACCATACAAGATTGTCAACTTAAAAATTAGCCTGCTGTATTTGGTCAAACATTTAATTAACTCACCCTAATGCTTTGTCAGGGACAGACTAAATGACATTCCCCAACCCTGCTCTAGAGGAAAAGGGGTTTCTTGCTTCTTCTAGCTTCTGCTGGCTATTTGTGTTCCTTGGCTTGTGGCTGCATCACTCCAGTATCTGCTTACTTGGACACATTGCCTTCTGCTATTCTGTATCATCTGCTTGTGCCCTTTTTTAATAAGTACACTTCTGGGACCACCACATAATCAAGGATAATCTTTACATCTCAAGATTATTAATCACATGTGCAAAGTCACTTTTACCATATAAGGTGACATTCACAGTTCCAGGGGTTAGGCTATGGGCATATTTGGGGACCATTATTTAGCCTGCCACATCTTAGCCTACCTTCTAAGCAGATTGCTGAGCTAGAAACCTAGGAGTAATCCTAGAGATTTCCCTGTTACAACTCTTGTATCCCATCAGTCACATTGGTGATCTTAAATTTCTCAAATGTGTCTCCATTCCCACTGCTGTGCCTTAGTTCAGGCCCCATCATTTCTTGCCTGGTTACTACAGTAGCTATTGGTTATAATAGAGGCCAGCAAACTTTCTGTAAAGGACCCAGTAGTGAATGGTTTCAGCTTTGCAGGTCAGAAGGGTGGATCTACTCAACTCTGACATCGTAACACAAAAGCTTCCATGGAAATATTTAAACAAATGGGTGCACACTAGTTGTGTTCCAACAGAACTTTAATTATTAAAACAGGTGGCTGATGGGATTTGGCCTTTATGCCTTCTCCCCCTCTAATTTATCCTCCATATTGCTGCTAGAATGATGTATTTCCAAGATGAAAATCCAGTCACTTAACTCCTGAACAAAACTTTTCCTTGCTTCACAATTACTTTCAGGAAAATGGTTAAACGAATTAACTTATCAACATGCTCTAGTCCAGTGGAAGAATAAGTTATTTGTGGACAGGCAGACCTGGTTTAAATCTCAGTTTGGGTATTGACTAGCCACATTTCTTAATGTTCCTGAGCTCAGTTTCTTCATGCAACGAGATTATTAACCACCATTTGTAAGGCTCAAATGAGGTAATGTATGTAAAGCAAGCAGTCTGTGATAGGTATACATGAAAGAACAACTTGCACTTTTGTGAATTGTTCGTGCTCTTTGATGCTTTTCGTTCTGGTACTTGATGTCCCCACTGCAGTGAGAAATCCCCTTCCTCCGCATTAGGGACACCTACTTGTCCTCTCAGATTTAAATTTCTCTTCCTGCCCTCCCCAGGTAGAGTTAGGGCTGCTGTGCTTCTGTAGCATTTTGTGTACACCTTCATTGACTTCTTTAACTTCTTTGTTAACTCTCCCACTAGACCCGTGGTCGGCAAACTACGGCTCTCGAGCCACATGCAGCTCTTTGGCCCCTTGAGTGTGGCTCTTCCTAAGCCTTAGGAATACACTAATTAAGTTAATAACAATGTACCTACCTATATAGTTTAAGTTTAAAAACTTTGGCTCTCAAAAGAAATTTCAGCTGTCCTACTGTTGATATTTGGCTCTATTGACTAATGAGTTTGCCGACCACTGCACTAGACCATAAACCTCTGAAGGTCAGAGACCATTGATTCAGTCGTTACATTTGCTTTGCTCTCCCCAAAGACTGATCATAGAGTGCTTGTCCTTGAGTAGGTGCTCAGCTGGTGGTTAGATATTGTTTGGTGCACAATGACCTTTTCCAGATGGGTTTATTCTAGTTGATAGCATTGTTGCATTCTTATTTTAAACTAGAGGCCCGGTGCATGGATTCATGCACTGGTGGGGTCCCTCGGCCTGGCCTGTGCCCTCTTGCAATCTGGGACCCCTTGGAGGATGTCAGATAGCTGGTTTCGGCCTGATCCCCGCAGGCCCAATCCAGACAGGAGGGAGCTCGATCCTCTGTGTTGAGCGTCTGTCCCTTGGTGGTCAGTGCACATCCTAGTGATCGGTCATTTGGTCATTTGGTCACTTAGGCTTTTATATATATAGATTACTCATATTTACTAAGCATTTACATGTATTGACTTGCCATATCTTCAAATTACAAATAACCCTATGAGATTGTTCCCATTATGCAGATGAGGAAACTTGAAGGCACAATAAGGTTTAATAATTTAAACAGCAAGTGAAAAAGTAAGAGTTCTAACCCAGGTAGTCTAAGTCTGATGCCAGAGCTCCAACACACTACACTTTACTGTGTTGCAGTGCTCAGATGTTTAAATCTTTTCATTAAATTGAAAGAGCAGTTTTCCCCCTTATTATTCTGTTTTAGTTTTTTAAATCTTAGAAGTAGTTTTTTAAGACCTTGTCAGTAGAAAAATGCAGAGTGTAATCAATTGCCAGGGTTACAAATACCAGAGTACATCAAAGCAGATTTGTTATTCTGGAGGTAACTAAGGGACAGACCCTCAGCCTATGACCCCTCAGATGGTAGCATTTATGCAAAAAACTTGTTACACTGCTGTAGTACACAGGTGGTGCTCAATAGCCTGAGCAATTTGATTCAGAAACATTTTGAAACAATTTGACAGGTACTTGTTAAGGTAGGTCTAGGTAAAAATACATGCAAAACAAAACAAAACAGAAACATGTCTGTGACCCTAGGGAGGTGGGTGGAATTGATACATTTTGACAAATGTAATAAATATGTACAGGGCTGTGGTGTTGCAATGATTCTCAACCTTGGCTGCACATTAGAATCACCTGGGAATCTTTTTA